AAAAGGCAGCGTTGCGATAACTGTGCATATTCCTTGAATGTGCTGAGGGGGAAGCAAGGAAAAAATCTTCGGCCCCCAGCTGGTTGCATATGATTCAGTAACAACAGCACAAAGAACTTGCAGGTATTGGGTTAGGGTTAGGGTTAGGAGAAATGGTTCACCTTTTAAATTCGCGTACTATAGGGTCAATATATTAGTCATGAGACTGCATGACCCTCGTCACTTTGCTGGTGGCACAAGACTTAAAATGAAGTTATTAGGAATTGTGCTTCTATGTATGTCTTTTGGGATTCTGTAGCAATTGTTTCCAAAATGCAAAATGTCTTATTAATGTACAAACGGCGGTCTGCCTAAGGCGCACCCAGTCTGTAATTTTGAGAGGTGAAACCCACTTAAAGGTGGCAAGAGATATTTCGTTACAGATATACTGTGGAGGATGATGTGCGTATCCTCAGACAGATTGACAGACAGACCTTGATGTTCAAACATATTGGTACCACAGCATGATGCTTTCATTTCCCTTGGAGGCTTGCCTTGGCGATGGAACAGAGCAGAACTAAAGAATGTAGAATGCCGAAGTGTCGTGACCTATAAATAGGCATGTTCCTCCATTCCCTTGCAGAAGAATATTCTAAGGGTGAACTTTATCAGCCTCTGAATGTGGTCTCCAAATTGGGAAGGGGAGAGTAGCAACCTGCTTCCGGTGGCACAGTCAGATTTCACGTTCATTCCGCTCCCACTTGCGGTTGAAACAGTTAAGCCATTCCATTTGAACGAGATGCAGAGCATGAGCGCCACCTCCAGGGTCCTTGCTCCTGTGCTGCGATCGCAGGGGGGTCCATTCACGAGTCCAGATTGGCCTCTTTCCACTGCGCTTTTCCTTGAATGAATGTGGCAACATCTTCCTCTTTCAGGCCGGTCAATAGCAGAAAGGGAGCAGAGCTGTCCTTGGAGTCTAGGATGCCCCGTATTTGTTCCATTTCAACTGTATAACAGGCTTGGACATTGAGGAGGGTTTGCTGCAGCCTCCCTCAGCCACTGGAGCTGAAAATGAAGGTTATGGAGCAGTCGTATTCCTGAGTTCAGTGAGGAAAAGGGCCTCTGCCTTTCCCACTCACTGATGTCTGTGTCTTTGTGTCAATNAGGAATGCCCCGTATTTTTTCCATTTCAAATGTATCACGGGCTTGGTCACTGAGGAGGGTTTGCTGCAGCCTCCCTCAGCCAGTGGAGCTGAAAATGAAGGTCATGGACCAGTTGTATGCCTGAGTTCAGTGAGGAACTCTGCCTTTCCCAGTCGCTGGTGTCTGTGCCTTTGTGTCAATACCAGCATGAATCTCCCACCTTCCCTGGTAGCACAAGCTCTAGTGCTCCTAACATACTTGAAAAATATTGGAAGCATTACGCTGCTTTTGTTGGTGAATGTATTTCACCATAACCTACTTGTTCGGATCCCAGAGGAATAGAGGGAAAGATGCAGGAATACAAAAATGGTGCAGCGGAGAGCTGAGGAGATGATCCTGGGTCTGGAGACTAAGCCATATGATGAGCAACTACCATCGCTGGCTTGATCAGCCATGAGAAGAGAGGATTGCATGGGAAGCGGAGAGCACCCTGCAAGTCCCTGAAAGGCGGTCTCAGACAGGAGGCACAAAACCTGTTCTCACTCATCCGTGAATGTACGATATGGAACAGTTAACTGAAGGAACAGCACTCCAGTTTCAGGCTGGAGTCCAGGAGGAACCTCCTCACTATCTGGGCAATATGGCAATGGAACCAGTTGTCTGGATGAGTTGTGGGCTTCCCCACACTAGAAGCACTCACGGCCAAACTGGACATTCTTCTGAGTGAGATGCTGTGACTTGACGTTCTCCAACACCAGGGGATTGGACACGATGGCCTCCTTAGTACCTTCCAAGCTGACTCTTCCATGGATCTAGAAGACTCTGGAAATGGATTTGCTGTCAAATGATGCTCCACTCCGTTTATGGTGAAGAAGCATGACAAGGAAATAGGTAGAATCTTCCATTTTCAAATTGAGGGACAAGTTAAGGATGAACTTAAGGAGCCCCATATTCTTATCTCTTCATAGAGAAGGGGCAGAGGGGACACTTGCCTGTGCTGGCACCATCAAGTTTGCCTCTCTTTCCAAATGCAGTTGTGGTTGGAAGTGCTAAGTCATTCTGCTTGAGCGAGTCATGGAGCAAGAGCGCCACCACGAGCAGCCTCAGCCCATCTGCAAATGTATTGTGAAATGAGGGCAACTCATTGAATGTTCTGCAAATGCTTGTACATATTTTGCTTGTGAGTTATGAACAGCCTGTACAGCTGGTAAAGAAGGAGCTGTGAGTGACTCATGCCTGGTATTTGAGGGCAGAAATGTTTTTGTACGTCTCCAGGGCAGCACTTCCTCACTGTGTCTCTTGCACAGTAATACAGGCCGGAATCCTCAGGCTTCAGGTCACGGACTTGCAGGAACACCTGGCCCTTGGAGGTGTCCCTCGAGATGGTGAGCCGGTTCTTCAGAGCACTGTTATAGTACAGGTCACCATCATACTCAACAACTGCAGTCCACTCCAGTCCCTTTCCTGGGGGCTGACGGACCCAGCTCATGTGGTAGCTGGATAGCGAAAACCCAGAAACAGTACAGGTCAGCTGAATGGTCT